CTGAGTGTATTGTATTCATCATTTGATGCTGTGGCCCCATTGCAGAGGGGCAAGAGGGGGAACTCTAGCACATTGAATCCCAGACACTGCATTTGAAAGAAGTTAACTCAAACTGTTATTTTATATACTAATAAGAAAGAAAAACACTGCCAATGAAATTATGTCACACCATTGATGGTAGGACATGCTGTGATTTCAGAGACGTTAAAATGTGAACAACTGTGCATCTGAGAACAGATGAACTTTGCCATTTAAACAGTACAGGTAATTTCCGGTGCATTTCATGCAATGATAATAATAAGCCCCAGAATGCATAAAATGCTAGCCTTGAGTCTGACTTTCCTTCGGACAGTCTCCTCTATCTTTTCCAGGATTCACAGCTCGGCAGTTTAGGGAACAACTGAAATAAAACCAAGCATTTCCTATTCCAAGCGTACCTTTCCAAGGGGTCTCTGAGACCCTGAGTTGCCAGATAAAATACAGGATGTCCAGTTAAATTTGAATTTCCGATAAACTCTGAATACTTTTTAATATAAGTATATCCCAGATAGTGAGTGAGATAAACTAAAAATAAATTTTCTGGATGCCCTGTACTTTTATTTGCTGAATCCAGCATCTATCTTCCCAGGGTAATTGTGACTGCATTTGACCTTTTCCACATGCTTTCACTCCAGGGTCTTAACCTTTACCAGTCAGGAGCCTCCATTAATACTTCTTTCACTTCTTACAACCACTCTGAGAGGAAGGGGTTATTGCTGGTATTTCACGACTGAAGGGGCTGAATTTCCTCCTCAGACCTGAATGTCTCATTAGATGAGTTGGTTCAGTTTTAACTGTGATCATGACTGCTGATGCTTTCACACAGTAGTTAAAAGATAAAGGTCCCTGGAAAACCATGAAGAGAGTAAAGGTACTCTTATGCATAGAAACAACCTCTATGGGTTGATCATTGGTCACTGTCAGGGGACAGTGTATCCAGCCTATAACAACAACAGCTGCAACAGCCACAAACACCCAACACCACTTACTATGTGTCATGCATATCAGTATAAAGACCTCTTCCCTGCTTTTATGGAGGGGGAGGCTGAGGCCCAGAGAGGTTAGAGAGCTTGCACTTCTCATTGTTCATGTCTGGGCCTAAGCTCATCTTCTTGGAGAGTCCTTGCTGGTTGTCCCTTAGGGTAATCACCACTCCTGCCGCCACCATCACTCTTTATCCTAACAGTCTATTTCTTTCCTTGTGAAACTAAATCACCTCTCAGAAGCCTTTCAGGCTAGGTGAGCCCCTCCCAGCACTGTTCTCACATGGTAATGCCCATCTCATCTGTAACCAACCAACCCACCTGGGTGGCGCATGAGGACAGTAGAGAGGTTAGTCCGGGTAGGTGCATGCATGCCAGGGCTGCCTCCTGGCATTGCAAGGACACCATGAGTATCTGGCGGGTGAATAAGTCGTCACTGCCTTTCCCTATGGATGGTCTAAGGTAATCTGGAAAGTTCTTCTGAAGTGAAACTCCTCCATTAAAGCTCATGGGTGCATGCATGCTCGGTCATGTCTGAGTCTTTGCGACCCCACGGACTGTAGCCCACCGGGCTCCTCTGCCCATGGGATTCTCTAGTCAAGAATACTTGAGTGGGTTGCCATGCCCTCCTCCACCATTGAAGGTCACCTGAGGCAAATAGTGCCTTTGGATAAGGTGCTTTTTAGAGTCATGATTAGGGCTTATCTGTTAGTTAGCTAGGCAACGGTTTCCAGCCCACAGGTTCTTGGGCTGCTTGGAGAAATAGAATCTTACTCTGACCCACAGCACAATTCATTTCCAAGTCACCTGGGCAGCTCTTCCACGACATGAGGCTTGCCCACCAGGCCTCTCCCAGGCTGCCTATTCCTGCAGACTCTACATGCATTCAAAAGCTCCCACACCAGACCAGCATCCTGATGTTGCTGGGAAAAGAGCCTTGTGGCTCAGACGATCCTTAGATAGAGAAGAAGGGCAGTTTCAGAGGAGAGTTTGCCAAGGAAAGCCTCCATACTGTGGAATCGCAAGCAATGGGCTTACAGGCAAATGTGTAATATTCTTTCTGTAATACATATGGGTTCTATCTGTGCACACAAACTTCTCCGAAACACACGGTTTCTCAACTGCAGGTGCACCTGAGAATTGCCTGAGAGGTTTGAAAACAGTCCCCACCGCCAGGCTGCCCCCCTAGACCAATTAAGCCTGAACCCCTGGGGCAGGGCCACTATCTGTCATTTTTAAAGTTCTCCCTGTGACTCCTGTGGGCAGCCGGGGTTGAACATGGCTGTTCTGAAGAAAGCCACGTGCTTCCATCGGGGACTTTTGGGACTAGAAACCCCTAGGTTTTAAAAACCATATACCATACAGCTTTGCAAATAGCATTAGTTTTTGTTTTACTCATTTCCTATTTCCCATAAACAACTTCTAAGCATTGGCATGATGCTGCCATCTGGGAGACATATGACAATAACAGACGGTAAGCCTGATAACCAAGGAGGCATTAACGTTTGCAGGCTCTAAATTATTTGGATTCATCTGGTGCGATCTGCCTTGATGAGGCCACTTAATGCTTGATTTCTGCGTCTTCCGACGGCAGTACCAGAAGTGGGGAGGCCATATTTTCTGGGCTTTGCATTGTTCTCTGTCATCCTATTGAAATAGTTACAAGATGGATTTATAACAGACCTAAAGCTAGTATCAAAATGAAAATTAGTTCTTGAGGAGAAAAATAGCAATCCTGTTTGACTTGCCTGTAGCTATTGCGTCATCTCTGCCTCTGCAAGGAAGGAAATGACTTCTTAATGTGGTTTTCTTCCACTAAGGGAAATTAAATCTATGTGGCAAAGTGTAAAACCAGCATGCTAGCAGCCAGATATGGAGCAGAAGATCCATGACCCTCATAAACATATTCGTGGCTGGGGTATATGCTAATGAACCTCATTTAGGCTCACACTTACCCCACAAGCATCTAGGTCTGCTCACTGTTTTGTCTTCTGTATCAAAGTTGGATCTGAAACAATGGGAACATCTCTCCATCTGCTGCAAGTTGCTGGGGTGGGGGGTCTCTGGGTTAGAGTGGGAGTGACTGGGGCCTTAGATCGCAAACTCCGCTATTTTAATTGTGCCACTTGCCTGAGTCGGCAAGATTCTTTGTTGGAGGATCTGACTTTTGGGTCATGGTACCTGGGGGCCAGGAGCTGTGGAACTGTTGGCTCTTTGGTGACACCGCACTTCCTCCTGGAGAGGATTTTAAAAAGGCAAAAACTGTGGGGAACACCCCCCTCACCACTGCTCCTAGCTGGGTGATCTCTGACAGGGGACGGAACTTCCTCAGACTTTAGTTTCTTCCTTGGTAAGAAGGAGTCAGCATCACCGACTCAACGGACATGAGTTTGAGCAGGCTCCAGGAGTTGGTGATGGACAGGGAGGCCTGGTGTGCTGCAGTCCATGGGGCCACAAAGAGTCGGACACGACTGAGCGACTGAACTGAGCTGAAGAAGGAGCGGGGTAGTGCCTGCCTCGTGTATCGGCTATTCTAAGAATTAAGTGAAATGATGCACGAGGAAGTAATACATGAAGAGGAAGAAACGGCCCTTCACATCATAAATACTGGCCATCATTGGTGCTGTTAAATAGCTGGCCCCAGTCTCCTCAGATGACTTAACATGAAATACCGCATTATGCCTCCTGTGGAGAAATGTATGCCCTCAGCATTTCACAGTGTCTACAGCTACAGACGGGAATAACAAGTTTAGTTAATAAAACTAAACTGCAGAGGAGATTAAGGGGGAACTGAGCTCTTCTAATGAAGAACATTCTGACAGCATCCTCTCTCTGACAGAACTGAAATTTTATTCACTCACTATGTAAACCAAAACATACACAAAATATATATTTTTTAATAAATATGTGTATATGAAGAGGATTTTAAAAGGGTTCTTTTGACTAAGACTGAGTGTTAATTTTTTGATGCTTCCTCATTTAATTCTTTTCCTCACTTAGTTTTTTTTTTTTTTTTTTTTTTTTTTACCATTTGTAGGCTTGAAGCCTCTTTTAATGCATATACTCTTATTTCTTCAAAATTCCCAGGTGACTCACTGGTAAAAAATCCAGGAAGATCCTCTGAGGTAGGAAATGGCAACCCACTCCATGGGTGTGGAGAATCCCTTGGACTCTGGTGGGCTACAGTCCATGGGTGGCAAAAGAGTCAGACCCAGCTTAGTGACTAAACATCAGCACCAACTCTTATTTCTTACTCAGTACTCACGGCCCTTCTATTATTATCATCAATTGGCCTGGGCCATTTTGGTTCAGTGAGCAAAACTGCTCAGAGCTCATATAAGAGAGGCTAAGCTGAGGAGAAGGTAGGTTAACCTCAGGCCAACTTGGGAAATGATTGTGGGCAGGTGGCCAAGGCGGTGTCTTCAGGGGCTGGGAAGTAAACAGAATGGATGCTGCTGGTCAAGCATAATTTTAGAAGGTGGTGGGGGTTTTGGTAAATGGCAGGATGCCCCCCCCCACCCCCCGCCATCTGTGACCACCACTCCCAACCTCAGTGGATCATTACAAGGCAGTGAACCGCCCTCAGCGTAGCCTAATCTAGTTACTGTGTTACAGAAGTTAGAAATGTGGATTTTTACACAGCACCCTTCCCCATTTTTGGATTTCGGCAAGTAATTGTGCTTAGTCCCTCAGTCCTGTCCGACTCTTTGCGACCACATGGACTGTAGCCCCAGGCTCCTCTGTCCGTGGGATTCTCCAGGCAAGAATACTGGAGTGGGTAGCCATTCCCTTCTCCAGGGGATCTTCCCCACCCAGGGATTGAACCTGGGTCTCCTGCATTGCAGGGGGATTCTTAGCCAAGTAATACAACGAAAAGATATGCGCCCTAGCCGCTGACTTGCAAATGCTGTTCCGCTGCCCCACAATAATTGTTCCAAAGGGAAGATCCCACAGGAGTCTTTTTTTTTTCCTCCAAAGCTCCAGAAACACGACAGAGAGGATCAAGACTCCCCAGCCTTGTGGCGGTCAGAGGAGGAGATGGCGGCTGAGGCCGCAGCACTGAGGGCCTACTTTCAGTGACGCGGGTAAGGCGGCAGTTCACGTCAACATGGCGCAGACCCTCCTGGCGCCTCCCCAGGAGACGGGGCTCACTGCCAGCGCGCGTCGGGGGTGGGGGGGCAGGGAAGCAGCCCCGCCCACTCCCTATGGCACCAGTGGGGGCTGCACAAACAGTGAAGCCGGAGTGGGCAGGACTCCGACCCTTGGGGTCTCGCTTCCACACCACCTCTCTACACCTCTCCCCTCCGTTCCTGTCCTCCCTGCCCGGCCCTTGTCCCCTCCGTCCTCTCCAATCCAGCCTCTACAGAGCAACTGGAGATAGTCTGTAAGGCAGACCTCCTAAAAAACGAAGAATTAAACTACCATATGACTCAGCCAGCCCACCTCGGGGCATAAGCGGGTGGGCCAAATGAAGAGAGCAGCATTGAAGTGGATGCATTACCAAGTGTGAATAGATAGCTACTGAGACGTTGCTCTGTGACAATCCAGAGCGGTGGGAGGGAGGTTCATGGAAGGGAAGGGGCCGTATGTCTACCTATGACTGACTCATGTTGATGGAGGGCAGAAACCATCACAATATTGTAAAGCAATTATTCACCAATTAAGAAAAGAAAAAATCCAAACCCTCCCAGGAAGTCACCCTGCCCTTAGGCTCAAGTCTCAGATTCCTGTTTCAAGCTTGCAGCTTAGAGCTCACAACCAACTCAGCCATGCTCAGGCGGGCTCTGGGTCTCCTCTGGTGGCTCACAAGGTAAAGAATCCCCCTGCAATGCGGGAGACCTGGATTCGACCCCTGGGTTGGGAAGATCCCCTGGAGGAGGGCATGGCCACCCACTCCAGTGTTCTTGCCTGGAGAACCCCATGGACAGAGGAGCCTGGCGGGCTGCAGCCCACGGGGTCACAGAGAGGCGGACAGGACTGATGGACTTTACTGACAGACTAAGGGCACACACAGCTCTCCTGGCAGCTCTTTGGCAAATTATCTTTCTGTTTCCCTTCGAATTACCTCTTCACATTAATGATGTTTAACTACTGGGAGATCCCAGATCTGAGACTTATAGAAGGTGATAGCCAATCTCCTTTTCACGTTTGTCCGCAGTGTTAAGGAGTTCAGGCATCTTCTGAAAGGTATCAATGTTAATAAACAGTATTGGGGCCTACTTTGAGTAAAAGAATTATTCGTTATCTAAAATTCAAATTAAACTGGGTCTTCTATTTTATCTGACAACCCTGTTAATAAATCTCTGCAGGGATTATGGACCCCAGATAAAGAGCCTCTTCTCTACATTGTTTTTCTCTTTTAAAACTGTCTGCTTCAACTGGTCTTGTGTAAATGTGTTTATATTATAAGCAGCTGAAGTAGATCAGATACAAATTAAAAATGCAATTAGTGAACAAATATTGGTAGCAATTGCATTATATAAAGTTGTATCAAGCACTTAATGAGCATGGTTTTTAGCTACAAAACATTGGTTGTGGTATTAGGTTCTCATTTGGAGGTGTAAGTCTGTTTTAGTTAGTTTAAAATAAATGTGCATTTCCTGGTCTTTCTCCCTGCCACCCTCTTTTTAATAATATTCTAATTCCTTAGAGACCCAGTATCAAATACCCACCCCCTCACACCCCCAGTGATTGCTCACATCGCTGCTGTCTCGGGCCTTGGCATCATAGAAAGCGCACTGCCTTCTCCATGTCAGTGGCTTGTCAGCTCTGCACCCAGTTGCCTGAAGGGATACAGAGTGGTGGGAGTGGAGGCTGACTTTTTAAAATTGTATTTTAATTGGGGGATAATCACTTTACAATAAATGCTTTATAATACTGTGATGGTTTTTGCCATGCATCAGTATGAATTGATATTTTATTTTTAATCTTTTCCACCGCTGTTCACCTTCTCACTTCTCCCTGCCTTCCCTTCTCTCCCCACCTGAGGACCAAGCTAGTTTACCTAAGAACACAGGCCTGTGGGCGTGACTACGGACGTCTTTCTATTCCTCTTCTGCAAGCTGTGTGTCCTCTTCAAATGGTGTCAGCACTTTCTAGGCTGAGTTTCCTGTTTTTTCCCTTTCTGGCTTTCTTATGTAACAGGCACTTCCAGGGCAAGGCAGGAATGCTGCAGGCTTTTCCTGAGGCTTGCTCAGTTGTAGGATTCTGTCTTACAGTGTGTTTTCTAGACTGTTTAAGAGAATTTAAACCTCATCCCTGAGTTTCTGGCATGCTCTGCTTTGTCAGCTTTTGCTTCTGTCTTGCCTTGGGGCCTAACATCGCCTGTCTTCCAGGTGAATCAACTTGCCTTGTAAGTCTTCTAGAAAGATATTCCCCTTAACTTGTTACACGAACTATTGCCAGAGAGCCTGTGGGCTTCTGAATGAACTCACAGTAATATCTCTCTTTAAGGATGTTTGGCTACAGACCAAACAAATCACCTTCAGTTTTCCCAGCAGCCAGATGTGGTAAGTGGAAATGGGAGGGAGGCCAAAGAGCACAGGATGAGTAACTTGGAGGCGAGGGACCAAACGTAAGCCTGAGATTTCACCACCTGGAGAAGGGAATGGCCAACCACTTCCATATTCTTGCCTCAAGAACCCCACGAACAGTATGAAAAAGCAAAAAGATATGATACCAGAAGGTGAGCCCCCCGGCTTGGGAGGTGTCCAGTATGCAGAGTGACAGAGGGTGAGATGGTTGGATGGCATCATGGACTCAACGGACATGAGTTTGAGCAAGCTCTGGGAGATGGTGATGGACAGGGAAGCCTGGCGTGCTGCAGTCCAAGCGGTTGCAAAGAGTCAGACACGACTGAGTGACTGAACAGCAACACAGATTTTGCCAAGAGCATCACCTCCTATAGGATGAGAGAGACAGGGTGCAGTTCTCTTTAGACACAGAGGGGAAACGAAACATTCCTTTCAGGAAACCTGATCATGCGGTTGGTTAATCTGGTTCTTTGATACCTGCTCTCCTCCCTTTTCAAAATGCATCGACGCACCAAATGTTTCTACAGTGTTAAGGGGTTCATGGAACAAATAGGGCTGTCCTGCAACACATGGACAGACCTAGACTTCACACAGTATCTGAAATCCAGATATCCTTGGCCGCTCCAGCCTCTCCTGAGTATTCCCTCATCAGCAAGCCAGTGTCGGGCAGAGCCAGTCTGAAGCCCCTGGTGCTGCTCACTCTGCACGACCGCACACTTCACAGCATGCAGGGATGCCGGGCTCGGCTCCGGAATGGATGATCACCACACCATTACTGAGACTTGATAGACCACATAGGTTCTCTTATTATCCTTCCTTGCAGGTGATGACAAGACTCAGTGATGCCAAGTGCTGTTGCAAGTGGTGGAGCTCAGATTTTGCACCCAGACAGCCCCACCTCCAAGGGCTTTCCCTTCATCTCTCACTGTTCACCTTGCGTAGAAGGGCCTGTGGCTCCAGTCAGCACTGCCACCCTCTCCCAGCTCTCCTGTGTTCCAAGTTGTGTCTTCAGCCTCTCCACCTGGTCTCCTGGCCTCCCTGGTTCCTCTGTGAGGACGTCCCTTCCCTGCTGAACTTTCTTACCATTACTGCCAATCCCACCCACGCGGGTCCCTGCCTCCCTGGGCACGTTGCAGCCAGGCTGCAGGAACCCTAGTGGGCTGAACCAACTACTGCACTCTGCTTGAAAGGTGTTCCACACTCTGCTGACTCCTGCCTGTCTTTTCTCCACCATTTGACCACCTGCCTAAGTCATGGGACCTTCGGCATTTAAGTGTCTCACCAATTTCATTTCTTCCCATCTTGGCATGCTTTTTTCAATCTTTGTGTACTAGTTACTATTTACCTGATTCACTGTTAAAAATTCAGTTTATCTTAAACTTTATATTTTATCTTAAACTTTATATCTTAGCCATAAGAGAAATGAATATTACTTATTACTTATCATTAAAAGTTAAGCATAAAAATAAATATAAAAGGGAAACAGTGCTGATGAATTCCATCTCTGCACAGCTGCTTGCCTGGAACTATCAGACTGAGATTCTTTCTCTTCTTTGTTAAGCTGAGAGGCTGGTCATCCTTAGAGAGGGTGGCGCCAAACCAAGACTCTCCATTTGCCCTAATCCAAAGGATTTAAAAGAGAATTACCTACAGAGGGGTTTCATGTGCATCAGCTAAAATGATCTTAGACCAGTGATATCCCTCTTGGGAAAACAGCGGTAGAGGTCAGAGCCCAAACCCAAACCAGCTGACTCTAGACCTGTTCCTACCCCTGAGCTAGTGCTTCCTGAGTCTCTCACCCAGCACGGGCAGGAGACAGTGCGTGGGGGAAGCCAGAGTGAGCTTCCCTGGGGACGAGAAGTGGAGGGCTCCAGGCAGCAAGCCCTGCTCCACACCCCACCACCCCCCACAGGCACCCTCAGTCTCCGGGCCCATGGGATCTGTTGGTCACTCATCTGCCTTAGCGGCCAGCATACTGCAGAGCAGCATGTGCAGCCTTCTGCTCGGAGATGCCCCAGCTAGGAAACGGGACTGTGACAGGCAACCACTCTGCGTAGTGTCTGCTGTCGGAAACTCTAGCAGCCCCTCAGTAAGTAACCAACCCTGTTCTACAGGCCCAAATTAATCCTCAGCCTGACCACCACACAACCACAGAGACAAACATTCCCAAACTAGAAACCATGTCTTCTGCCTCTTGAAACCACCACAGTACCAACATGGGCTTAGCTGTGCAGAAGACTTTTCCTGATCTTTCCATATAACCCTGAGGGATGTCTTGAATCCTTGGCTGAGCAGAAGAGTGACTGTGAGTTGGCAGTTGCTTAAGCAATAGTACAAAGCAGATGCTGCCTTCAGCACTCAGGGGACGAGCCAACCACAGTCCACAACTGCCTAGGGGTTGTGGATGAAGCTGTGATGGTCTCCCTGTCCACGTGACAGATCCCTGATGAGGTCAGCAATCTTCTGGTTCCAGGAATTCAGCATGTGCTTTCTGCTTCGGTGAATTTATGCATCACCTCCCTGCACAGGGTTGAGTTCCTGGGAAGG